TAAGAGTCTGGGCCAGTACCTGGTATCAGAAATATATATATATATATATATATTAATAGGGTCGAAGAGCAACACTACTACTATAACCAGCAATATGTCAATATATATAAGAAACAACAAAATATATACACTTCGCATCATGCAATGCAACAAATTCGGTTTCTAAAAACCACTAGGAGCTTGTTACCCTAAACAAAAGGTAAAACCGACGGATTAAAAGTAAAAATCTTAAGTGTAACGGGATATATATATTCTCTTCTTGTAGTCACATGACTCAATGCTTGTTTATAGTGACTAATGACGGAGCTAGACTACAAATATTGGGAGGTCAATAACTGAGAAGTTTATAAACTTATTATCCACAAATTTTCGAAGTTTTATATAAAATTTCAAGAATTTTCTGGAATTTTGGGGCCACAATCACTTCAAGTCTACGGCAGCCATTTTTGCAAAAACTAATCATTAAAAAAGACACTTCGATTAAAATTTTACGAGTTTTTCATTAAACTTCGTTTTCGGTTTTGTTTTTCTTCTGAAAATGAGCCCTCGAAAGGTTTGGCACCATTTGAATTGGTCAAACGAATTATGGGATTTGACATCAATTTTCAAGAGAGATCCAAAGGCTGCCAACACATGCACGAACATTTGGGCCCCGTTTGGTTCACGGAATGGATTTGAGGGGAAATCAATTCCCATGTCATTTCTCAAGGAATGGGAATGAAAGATTCTTTTCCCACGTTTGGTAATGTTGGGAAAATAACCGAGAGATTTCACTTTGTTTCCTTTCCCATGTTTGTTTTGAGTAGGAATGGAAAACAAAGTTTGTATAATTTTCCAATTATATCCATATTAAATCAAATAAAAAAAGAATGCATTTAATGATACGTTGTAATTATAAATTGTTCATAGGGACAAAATAGTCATGAAAATTGTGCATTGAATGTTGGCTCATTTTCCCAAACTTTCCCATGAGGAGGGAAAACAAAACCCAAGTTAAGAGCAGGGCATCACTTTCCCCCCTACTTTCTCATGTGCAAGGCATCCATTTCCCATGCCCGGACTTACCAAACATGGTAAAGGAATTGAATTCCCATTCCCAAGTCTTCTTTCCCATGAACCAAACGGGGCCTTGGGGAAGCATTGCCACCAAGCAATGAAGATAAACTTAGTTGCGATAGAGATAGCACGGTTTTGCTATTTCCGACTAATAATAATATGTCAAGTAGAAATGTTATCATGCGTGTTATAGTGTTATTGACCGAAGATAGCAAAATAGTGCTATCCCCGTTTCATAAAAGTCTTTCTCTAAGAAATGGAGTGAGAGATGTAACACCACTTCGAAAATTGTGGTAGGTTGGTGTAGCATTTTTCTGTTCAAATTAAGTACACAAAATTGTAGTAAGCAAAGTTTTAATACTTGATGCCAAAAGTTGATTCAATTGCAAGTCACTTGATCTTCAATTATTGGAATCTTTCGGCTAGGTTGAAATCAATCTGCAATATGGAGAAAAGGATCCATGAGATCTTGGCACAGATGTGGTACTGATAAAAGGCATTTCGATGCTTAACTTAGTACAAATATTTATGAGTAAGTAATTTAACAGAGTAATTGTACATGTGCAAAATTATTGTTACCTCATGCATTGGGGCAAGAGGCCTTAAGTGAGGTCCCTCTTTGGTCAATGTGGGACTTTTGTCCTACGAGGAGGGTGCTAACATATGTCCTTATTTTGAATAGGAATGCCCTTCGGTAGCACGGCATGTGTGATGGCAAGTGTCTTTATTTCGAGAGTGAGTGCCTTGAAGATAGTGGCGCAACATGTGTCAATCGGTAGATGTGTACCCTATATTGGTATATTGCAGACCGCTTGCATGGGGTTGGTCTTGACGTGGCCCTAGCGTCTTCAGTGACTCCTACTTTGTCCTCAATAGGTGTAGGTTTATTGTTGTCTTAGGCTACTAAATCTGCTTGGTTAGATATGGTATAAACACAAACAATATCGAGGGAGGGTAAACTTAAACACATGACCTCGGATGTAGAATAACTAATTTTAACAACTTAAGCTACAATCTCATTGCAGCCCTACAATGTCTTTTGATTGAGGCTGCATGCCTTTGCTTTGGATGGTGCATTGCATATAATCTTTTGTCTGATTTTGCTGTTGGTATGTTTGATTAAAAGCATTTCTAATGTTTGATTAAAAGCATTTCTACATATTATTCATGGGTCATATTTTATTATGTCGGATCATAATCGGAACCCAAAAGAAGAAAAAAATTATTTTCTTTTCATAAGAAAAAGAATTATGGATCATTATCTTGTTTAATGCCTTCTAACACTTCTTATTTATTTATTTATTATTATTAAGTTTTTATTTATATATAGAGATGCATTTGAGAATAATGCTCATTACGTCACTCTGATTAGGTGCATCCTTTTATATTTCTTAATAAAATTCACTTATACTGTCCAATTTAATATATAAATTTTGCGGCTTTTAAATTTTGAATCCGCCACTCCATAGTAGTTGTGACCAAACGCGTTAACCAAGTTTGTGACCCCGACTCTGGTGCAATTTTGAGGCTAAAACTTATCACACAAAAGAGAGAAAATATGCCCATGCCAAAAGCATCTGGATTTTTGTTTTTTTGCGTGTTCATTTAAAAAGGAAAGGCATATATAGTGGAGATAAAGCTGCTGGACTAGTGAGACCCCACCTCCCCACCTTCATCAAATGAAACCAATTTGCTAATAAAATAAAAATGGTGTGTTCATATGCTGTCCACACACAACCTCTGTGTCAGTCAAACCATTTATAATTTGCAGGCTGACCTCAACATTCCAATATCTGTAATTTCCAATTCCCTCCGAGGTCATTTCTGTACCAAAACATTTCTTCTAGTTGCAGAAACATAAAAAAGGCATCTTGCCTATTCAAGTCTTTTCAGCCAAAAACAACACATTGACAATTTGACGCAGCAACATGTATTTTACGTTTTAGGAGTTGCAGAGAGGCTTGGAAAAGAAAAGGAGAAAGCTTTTTGCTTTGATGAACAAGAAGCTCAGCTAGCAGCAACATTCAACTTTGCTGAATTAAGAACCAGAGACCCCATTAATTTCATGCAATTGCCCATATCCAATCCCCATAAACAAAGCAGTTAATTACACCTTGAACAGGAGAGCCAGAGCAATTAATCCAACCACCATTGAAGAAGCTCCAGACCAGATGTAAGCTCTCATAAATTATAACTCAACAAACTCAAAATCTTTATTAAGAACTCAGAAGCATTTATTTAATTGCTCAATTTTCAAGCTTTCATCTTTATTAAAACCCAGAATCTCTCCTGGTCTTCTTTTTCAAATTTCACTTCAATCAAAAATTTAATTTGCAGAAAGGTGACGAATCTGATGACTGATAAGCACCCAGCTTCCTCGGAACCCAATTGAAGATGGTTCTCCGCCAAAAGTCTCTGACTTTGATCACTATCATCACCATCCTTATCACTACAACCTCCATAGCCACCATAGCCAGAGCTCAAAACTCAAGCTCCTGCAAACTCACATGCGGATCGGGAAAATCAGCCAAGTCGGTTCAGTACCCATTTGGGTTCTCAGAAGGATGCGTAATCCCATTGAACTGTTCTGACAAAAACGAAATCAAACTCGGTGAATTCACAGTCCAAAACGTAACCAGAAGCAGCATCTTCGTCCATCTCCCTGCACAATGTAACAGAAGGTACCAATCCATAGCCCCTCTCTTCGGCCCAAACTTCGGCCCAAGCTGGAACAATAGCCTTCTCTTCCAAAACTGCACATCTCCACTCCCTGGCTGCCAAATCCCAGCTGAATTTGTTCAGAAGCGATTCAATTTATCGAGCTGCGATAATATCACCTGTGTGTCACAGGCGCCTAACGGCTCCGATATTATGAGATTTGAGGACTTGAATCGGACCCGGTGCAATTACTTGTTCGGGTCGTTTTCGGTTCAGTCGGGTCGGGACTCGCTGCTGTCGCTCGAGTTCGAGACGCTTCAGTTGGGTTGGTGGGTCTACACCGGCCTTTGTGAATGCCATTTGAATGCCACGTCTACGACGGTGAAGCTCGGTGAGGGGAAGCCGCTTGGGTGCCGATGCAGCTGCAACGCTGGGTTTGATGGTGACGGGTTCAAACTCGGGTCGGGTTGCCAGCCAGTGAGCCAACCGGGTACTGTTTCTTTTTATGGATTATTATAATTTCAGCCCCCATTTTGGGTGTTTTAGTGAAACTCCCTTCTTTTAAAAGAGATTTTCTATTTAAACCCCACACTTCTCTTAGTTCACCCCAATACTTAAATCATTAAGCTTATTATTGTGTAAAAAGACAAAAAAGGTCATTCAACTTAATACTTAACCCTAGTACATCTATACACACACCCCACACACCCCACCACTCTTCATATTAAGTTTTACAAAAATACAAACTCCTCTACATTGTATTGCCAGAGACGTAGCTTTAACGAGCATGCCTCTTTAAAATCTGCTTGGGAGTTGATGGAAATACTTGTTGATTGTTTGGCTGTAATGATCTTATTCTCTTCCCTTTGTTGATTGCTTGGCTATTGATTGCTTTTTTTTTTTTTAATACCTGATGTTTTGGTAAAACTGTTCTCTTTCTCTAGAAAGTATTTAATTTCGAATTTGGGGTTCCATTTGTTTGTGTTTTTTTTCTGTTGGGAACAGGGACGAATGCAGCTAATGGGCTGTATGGGCTATAGCCCATGCCAAAAAAATTTTGATTTTTAAATGTGATGTAGTCTTAGCCCAAACAAAAAAAATATCTATAGCTAAATAGAGGGGATAGCCCACTTCGTACCTGCATTCACAGTAAACAGAGTCAAAACTACTTGAGTGGGATAGAAAGCGTCAATTCATTAGGGTGAAAACGGAAAGAAGCCAAGACATTTCTTGGGGGTCTCATTCTAGTTCTATCAAAAGTTTGATTTATTTATTTGGTGCAACCAAGACACTTCTTGATGAAATAGGTCGTAATGGACTTACATCACAATTTCGTGGGGAAGCCGAGAGTATTTATATTGCCATGATGTCGTTTGCATTTGTTTTTTCCTTATTTTTGTTGTAAAAAACTATGGGATTGCATGTTTATTTAGTGATTTCAACTCTTTCAAGCCTAGAAGGGTGCAACTCAAATAGTTGTATTATGTATTTGCATTGCATGTTTATTCTATATTGTCTTTTTTTATTAGTTTATATCTTATGTACTATATGCATTTTGAGGGTATGGCTCAATATGTCCCCCTTGATTAGGTATATAATTTTTGTTATCAATGAAATTCACTCGTACCGTTGAGTTTGTTTATAAGGGAAATCCAACCCAGTGTATTTCGAAATCCTGGATTCGTCCTTGGTTGGGAACAATAATATTATTGTCACGTCTGGAATTCTAGTATGCATCTAAAATCATAATCCTGCTGCTGCTACTTCAATAGTTGGGTTATTTTTCTTGTTGCTTTTCCACTATGATAAAAGCTTCAATGTATTCTCCATTGGTGGCCGATCAGATGGCATGGCCACTCCTAGTGCAAAGTGTAGCAACCTCAAGTACCAGTTTTATCTCCTCTCGCACGGAACGTTCATACCAACTTCATTCTCATTGTAAATTTCTCTCAGAACAACTTCCCTTGACTAGCTCTGAATGCTTGCTCCTGAATTCGTCAACCTGCCATTGCTTAAAATTTCCAGCATGATCTCCCCAAAGTTGTATACATCCCTTTATAGTTCCTCTTTTGTCTTTTTACACAATAATAAGCTTAATGATTTAAGTATTGGGGTGAACTAAGAGAAGTGTGGGGTTTAAATAGAAAATCTCTTTTTAAAGTGTTGAAATTTTTTTTAGTCGTGGTCTTTGATGGGCAAGTTAAGTGGAAAAGTCACAGTTGGGCACGGCGGGGTTTTTGGACTTGTCCAATGATGTGCTAACACGTCATTATAGATTTATTTTATAAATGAATTTTTATTTTTTTTGTTGTGATCAAAAAGTCAATTAAATTGTAAAAAATGAGGGGTGCATTGGATTTGATTTGGTCATAGCAATGTCGGTATGGCCTAAAAGCTGGAAGCTTTACTTGAATATAAATTTTTCTTTTTGGTCAAAATACTTGAATATAAATTGATATGAGTATTTGAGCATAATTTTAGGAAGAATTAAATGTACCAAAGATATGAGTTGATTAGTTGTCGTGTGGTTTCCTTTCATTGAATTCCTAAAGTAGATGCCCTTCAAAATGAATGCACATGGTAGTTTTAAGTTGCTGATGCAATGGTGCTGCGCATTTCATCAAAAAATAAAAGTAAAAGATTGTGCAGTTTCTTCATGCTTCCGATCTCTGTTGTCTATGTCCGGCAGTACCGTTTACTTGCACGCACCTTCCTATGCCCTTTAATTGATATTTGCAGAATAATCAACAGGTTTGTTGGGTGTTTTCAACAAAAATCTTCAAAGAATTTATCATGGTTTAGGCTCAACTGTAGAATTACAAACTTTTGCATGCCTTTTTATTTTTTCTGGATAAGCTTAATTCTGACATGATATTTCTTAAAGACATCAGAGGATGACACAAAAAAAGGACTGACTTTTCCTGCAGAAGATCGCAGTAAAGGTGATAACGAAGGGTTTTGGTTTCACGTCAGCATGGTATTTGGTTTCATCGTAGGCTTTTGGGCTGTTTGTGGAACGTTGGTCCTAAAAAAGTCATGGAGGTATGCCTATTTTAATTTCTTTGATAACATGCAGGAGAAGGTAGCCTTAAAAATTGCATTGAATGTAGCTCGTTGGCAAGGGAGATTATGATACAAAGAGAAAATAAAAATGTGCATGCCTGTTCTAGCGGGCTAGTGGGCTACTTGGTCCGCCTATTGCTGCTGAAGCTTACTTTTGGAACTTGTCTTAGCTTTTAAATTGATGTCTTTGTTAATTTTTTATTTGGTTTGGCTTGTTTTGTATTAGTGGTTTCCTCACTTTGTGTTTTGGTATCTCACAAGGGGCTTTGGTTCTTCTCGTTCCTTCTAGGTGTTACTCTTTTATTTCTTCAATAAATTTCTCTTGTGCAGTCGAGATTGTCAAAGGTGGTATTTCTCTCGTGCCGAATTTATGAGGAAAGGTGGTATTTCCAGTTAAAATTAAAAAAATGGTGGCATTAAGTGCTATTTCCCTAAAGTAAAAATAAACCTTCCTCTCTATCTAAGGATCCAGCACCGGATCTTTGATCTCTGGTGAAATTGGATGTGCTTCTCCTCCAAACAGTATATAATAAAATATATAGTTATGTTATTGTACGTTGGTTGTTAATAAGTGAGTTTTCTAGCTATTGGTTTTTTAGTATATATAATAATTGATTGCACGCTCTCAAACCACAACAGTTAGAAACCAAATTTAAACAGAAAGGATATGTCTGATCCTTTTAATTTAAATTCAACTATGCAAAAAATGAAAAATAGTTTAATTATTTTATTGATGGGTGTCTTAAGTAAATTTCCTCAGAGACCAACGTCCAGTTTTTTGATAATAATAATAATTTATTAATTATTTTTATTTATGCCCAAATTCAAAGCTAAGCCAGCCAAGCCCAAGAAGCCTAACACTCCAAAGTCAAACTATCAAAAAGCCTTGTTTATAAAGGCTTTTGAAGAACTGAGGGGCCGTTTTCATTTTTAAGAAATTGAAAACAAAAAACTTGCTTGTAACCAATTTTAGTTTTTAAAAAAACTGAAAACTGAAGAAAAGTTGTTTGGTAACTAATTTCAATTTTATGTGGAATTTGGAAATGAATTTTTTTGAGGTCAAATTGTGAATTTGAGATCATAGAATGAAGTGCATGTTACAAACAGTTTGTAGTATTTTTTGATGATTTTTTTTTGGAATTAGGATGAATTTGTGGTGAGTTTTGGATTTGTAGGTTCTGAGACTTAGACTGATTCTGTGGCCAAAAACAAGAATCAAGTAGCCGGGTCCAAATTGGGAGGTCCCAAATACTAAATTTATTAATTGGAGTGCATTTCATGTGTGTGGATGTAAAATTAGTGAATGCAAAAAGGAACACAAAAATAAAATTAAAACAAAAATTTAAAACTGTTTCAAGTTATTTTTTAAAAATAAGGGTGATTTTTGAAAACTAAATTTCATTTTTTTGAAAACTGAAATTGAAATATGTTAACAAACACGTTTTCATCAGTTTTAAAAAAAAAAAAAAAAAACTGAAA